AAGTGCATAAAATTCTACATTTTATTTGCTTGCCAATTAAAATTTATCTGGTCATTTTTAACGTTCTCTACCTTAAATTGACAAGAATTATTAATAGAAAAAGCAATTTCTTAGACTCAATATTTTAAAGTTTTGATAAATTTTTCATTAAAAATTTTATAATTTTTAATATTGCTTATAATATAATGTCATTGACATTAGCCTTTATTTGTACACATTTTCAATGGTTTTCAATGCAAATTATTGCTTTTCTTATACTTTATTTTAGAACTTAACTATGATAGCTACAAAGCATATTATATATGGTTTAATTACTAAATTATCAGGCTACATTTTCTAATTGAAATCATTAAAGTTGAATTACCCAGTCAGAAGTTATTCCCCAACGGAACATTATAGATTGTTTGAGTGTATTTGTTAAATCAATTGTTATTCAAACCTGTTGTTATTCATAATAGGTAGAATATTATTTATAAAAATCTTGCCATTTTCTTGATGGTTTAAATTTTTAACATTTATCGGCCAAATTGACTACAGTACAGACCAAAGGTTATTTACACAATTAATATGTATATAATCTATACGTTTTTTGTGGGAATTATATGTTTCAGATTTTCTCTGATTGAAACACTTGAGTTAAGTGTTTATAAAGTTACATTTCTTTATTTCCGTATTTCAAAGTTAAATATAATAAACACGTTAATTAATCACGTTTTATGTCTAATCACGCAATGTCTAATAACGTATATTATTATATAAATAGAATAAAATGATCGCGGTATAAAAGAGGGCGATAATAGTCTTGAAAAGTGTAATGTTTGTAAAGTATTCACTTTCCTTATGAAAAAATAACTAATTATTTAATTTTCTTCAGACAAAACCGGCTTAAGTTTTGCAACAAAAGTGTATTGAAAAATGATAATAGTTTTCAACATTTTTGCAAGTTTTAAATTCAAGGTTTTTGAATGAAAAACACATTTTTGCCAACAAATTACTACTCGATAAACCTGTTTATGACAAACAATTTTTGTTATTAACATTGTCAAAAACATTTTAACCATCATGATTTGTAAATAATAATAATAATAATAACTAATAATTAAAAACATATCCCAATGTATTCATTAGCGAAGACTATATTAGCAGTGAGTTTAATAGTAGTTGAGAGACAACGAGAGCACAACCTATTGGTCGGCCGGAAATCATTTGAAAGCCAATACGATTACATAGTGGTCGGGGCGGGCAGTGCCGGGTCTGTAGTGGCCGCGAGACTCACCCAAAATGCCGACATAAATGTGCTGCTGATAGAGGCGGGTGGGCCCGAGTCGGTGGTGTCAGACATGCCGGCGATGACCACATCGTTGTGGGGTTCGCATATGGACTGGAGTATAGCCATCGCAGCCCAGGCCAACTCTTACAGGGCCTACCAGGGTTATTATGGTCGATTGAGCCAGGGCAAGGTGATAGGCGGCTCGTCCACTATCAACGCCTTGGCCTACGCGCGGGGTTTGCCTCAAGACTATGACGATTGGGATCAAGTGTTTGGCGCCAAAGGTATGGCATTATATTTACGTTAGTTTTACTTATTTTTTATATAATGTTTGTTTGTATTTGTATTGAAGGCTGGAATTGGAGTGAAGTTTTGCCACATTTCAAGCGCTCGGAGGATAATAGTGACCACAAGTTGAGCGATAAATATCATGGTTTTGATGGTCAGCTTACTGTCGAGTCCATTGACAATCCGCGGCTAATCCACAGGACTATGATGTCGGCCACCCGTGAGTTGGGTTACGATGAGATTGATATGAATGATCCGACCAATGCTGGTCCCGGAGCTGCCATTCAGCAAAGGACCGTCAGGTTTGGCTAATTTATTTGTGATGTTATTTTACGGTTATTTAACTTTTTTTGTAATTTGACATTATTTCTGTTAAATAAAATATTTTTATATAATTAGTGTCACAAAGTATGTTTTTTACAATTCTTTGGCATTTTTCTAGGTATTTAGTGAATTAATTTTTTTGTGTTGGTAATTTTGCGGTGGTTTTATTGGCTACTTATTAATAAGATTAAGTTTTTGTTACATTTTTCTCTGTTATTATCTAATCAGTTATCTGTTTATAATTTTGTTTATCATATAAGTAGTGAGACAACTGTTTTAAAATAATGTAAAACTAAATATTTTACATTAATGTAATTGATTTAAATCCCTATTTTAACTGATCTCTGATTGCCATCTCGAATGACAAAGAAAAGTGTGCTATATTTTATGGGTTTAGAAACATTTTACTGTATATTGATTTAGTACTGTTTTAACGTATAATACATGAATCGTGATCACTTTTAAAAGCGAAAATATATTTGTTTTGTATTTATTTTCTTGCGATTTAAAAAACAAATTAATTATAATATGTTTTATCAGAAAATATCTCAAATTCTTAACTTTATTAAAATCATAATTAAATAAATATATAAATAAATGGTTTACTAAACATCAGAATTAAATAACAATTTATTTTTGTAATAACTTATTTAACTAAAACATACTTTAAATTTATAAATTAAAAATTATTATTTTTGGTTTAATAGTATTAGAAAGAGTTTGAGTAAAAATTAATTGATTATTTTTAGACAATCTCTAAATACAAAAAATAAAAATTAACAAAAAACAATTACAAAGTATAGATTATCACCTAATTGATCCGCTAATAAATCATTTTAATTATTTAAACTTTTAATATAAAAACTTATTAATAACTATAAGATTTATTAATAACAAACATTAATTAAATTTATATTTTTGTAAAATTAAATGCTAACATAATAGCAAATTAATTAAGTTAAACAAAATAATTACAATGTTTATACATGTGATTAGGGATGGCAGCCGGTGCTCATCTGCCACAGCATTTCTACGGCCAGTCATAGATCGGCCAAATCTGCATATAATGGCCAACACTTTGGTCACAAAAATCAATTTCGATGACAACCGGACGGCTGTGTCGGTCGACATATACAGAGACGGACAGCACTCGACAGTGAAGGCCAACCAAGAGATTATTGTCAGCGCCGGTGCTGTCAACACACCTAAACTCTTGATGCTGTCCGGTGTGGGACCCGGAGCTCATCTCAAATCACTTGGCATACCAGTGGTGGCCGACCTCCCCGTCGGTGACAATTTACACGACAATCCCATAGCATTTGGCATTCATTTTACGCTAAATACGAGCAAAGAGTCGGCGGAAGTGTTGGAAAGTGATGTCTCCGAGTACTTCCTCGAAGGCAAGGGTCGGTTGAGTCGCTTCGAGAAGTCAGTGCTCAGAATGAGGACGAGTGCGGCCGCGGATCAGAGACCAGACGTGCAGATATTCGCCGACACCGGAAGTTTGGCCGATATTCCCGACGCCCAGAGCGCCCACCAGTCGCTCAACTTGAAGCCCGACGTTTGGCACGAGTTTTATTGGCCATTCGCCGGCCGATCGACCGTAACGTTTGTGCCTTTACTGAGTCGACCGCTAAGTCGCGGTACTGTACGGCTGGCCAGCGCTCGGTTCGCCGACCAGCCGGTCGTTGATCCCAATTATTACGATAACCCGCGCGATATCCGGTCGATGGTTGAGGGCATGAAAGTGGGCTGGAGTTTGGGCCAAACTCAGGCATTTGTTCGCACGTTTGACGCCAAACCTTTTCACATACCTGTGCCCGGATGTCAATCCCATTGGCCATCAGAGAGCTCACTATTTGAGGCCACTTTCACGCCCAGCGATGTCTACTTTGAATGTGTGGCCAAAACGCTGACCAATTCCTATACACACCTGTCGGGCACGTGTCGTATGGGCGCCGAGAGTGACCCGAAAGCGGTGGTCGACCCGCGGCTACGGGTTGTCGGTGTCGGCCGACTGCGTGTTGTGGACGCGTCGGTTGCGCCCCAATCGCCGTCCGGTGCTCTCTATGCCGGCGCTCTTATGATCGCCGAAATGGGCTCACAATTCATACTCAATGACTATAAGACGAGTGCCGCTCATGAATGCCATAGAGAGCCGCAATCGTTGACATCTAATTCATATATCGATACCGTTTTCTCAACATTTTATTTATTGTTTATTAATATTTCTAATTATTTTATATATAATTTATGGAATACATTGTGATATAAAATGTTAGTAATATTTGTATTGTTAAAGTATTTGCTGAAATCCAGTTCTCTCCATAAATATAAGGAAAATTGATTGTTCAAAACAGTTAACATAACATTTTCGTGTCACCTAAACTTACGAATTTCTCTAAAATATTTAATATAATGTTGTTTTCTTATTTCATGTTTACAGTTTAGAAATTTTGAACGTGATTGATTAGTTACGATTATATTATTTTTAGTGTTAGACACTTTTGGGAAAATTCTTAAATTCTTAAAAATTGGGAATTTCCCGGAAGATATCAAAGGTGCAGGAACTAACCCTCTCGAGGGAAAATATTTTTTACTTGTTATATTCGTGATCAGTGATCACCATCAAATTCTATGTTGAATTCCTATATTATATTCGTAAATTAAGTAAAATAAATTTTTAGAAAAACAATTCAAACAGTCGAAAAATATTCGAAATAAAAGATGTTGGATGTTAGTTTCAATTTCGCGGTTAAATTCTACATTGATTTAATATATAATATTACAATTAAAGAATGATTTAGTTTTCATGTTATTTAGCACTTTGCGCGCGCTTTCAAAATCTGTTTAAAAATTAGTCACAACTAATTTAAATTAAAACAATTGACTACATTTGACAAATTCTTTGGTCTAATATATGTTCAACAATATTGAGATACACGTATTGAGTTAGTAAAAAGTAGTTATACATCGACTGGTCATCGTTTGACCACATTTTACCTTAATTTCTATGTTTTCAGAAAGAAAAAATATATTCCCTCATAAAAATATCTTTCGCGACTTAATTCGAAAATTATAGGGACATGTCTAACATTCATCATTTTATGACAAGTAACAATACAGTAGTTAATATTACATGACCAGGCACAATTGTAGGCCAGGTCACGGGATAATGCAATATTAATTATGATATGAATAAAAAGTATTACTATTATAAGTATTGTTACTATTGTATTGATTGATTGGTGGTCTTCGGCCGTCACAACACTTTCCAACGCAGGATTAGGTGTCGGCAATGATATACCGATGATCTCAAGAAATTTATAATCAATTGAATTTGCATTCAATACTGGGATTCGTCGCAAAATTGCACTTTTCATCCGTGGGATTATGTTATCGTTTATTTGGTTTAGATTTTCACCAAAAATATAGTTGAATTCATTTATTATATCCGAAATATCTCGTGTCCTCTCTTCTGATGTTTTGAGTAATCGATTAATAAATGCTTCAATTTTATTGGCATTTATACCAAAATTACCAAAAATATATGACTTGTAACCAATGTTTTTATAATCACTTCTATTAATAAAATCAAGTATATTATTAATACTATTAGATATTAAGTTATTAGAAAAATAAATATTTATACTTAATATGTTTTAATTGTATTTCAAACAAATAGCTTGCAATTTCTCCGATTTGATACAATGTGTAGTTATTTAAAATGTTTGGCCATTTTTCAACACTATTATAGTCATAACACAAGAATTTGATATAATTATCACTCATTATATTATCATTTATTATGAATATTCTGTTGATATACAGTGAGATGTTTGCGATATTTATATCTGAAGCAATCAATCCCTGAATACAATGTAATATTTGTCTCAATAATTGCTGTGAAATGAGGAAATCAATTGAAATTAACGAGTGATGGGTTTGTGCCCCAAATATCACACGTTTTGCTTTTATGACATCCCATAGAGTTTGCGAACAAAACTCCATTTGAATGAAAATCTCATAGCTTTGAATCCAAGAATTATACATTTGGAGCAAATATTGAGATTTTAATGTTAATAATTTTCTAATATTGGGAATAATAACTTTAACTTGATGCAAATTTCCTAAAACACAAAATATATTTCTATAATTTAAAATCTAATTAATTGCATAATATTGTTTTTGTAAAATAATTGAAAAGTACAACACTTACCTGGCTTGTATTTACTTATATAATAGAAATCGCTGTTTTTCGGTTGTTTGTATATTGCTAGGTGCAATCCCTGTAATTCATTCTTATTTGCATACAATTCAATCTTTGAATTAAACCCTATGATAAATATAAAAATATATTTACATATTTTATATTTAGCCAGTAGAGAAAACAAGTGGCACGCCTAATGCCATCCTGTTTACATTAATGTGTTGGGAAATTAAAATCAAACAGAACATACAAATGAAACAGTATATATTAAGCTACAAAAGCATGAAAACTATTTGTCTCTATCTATTGTGGTATAGAAGTTATGGTCATCTTAAGAGGACGTCTTCCGAAAATTGTTTGGGAATGTTATTCAATAAGATA